CTGAGAGGCACAATGTGACCATCGCTCTTTAATGCATTGGCCAAAACTTCTTGGGAGTTTTCAAAAGCAATGCAACATGTTTGGTTTTTCTCTACAGCTCCCAAAGCACTCCTGGTTGTTTCAGCTTAATTGTATCTCTTAAGTGCCTCTTAACTCTGACCTTCAATCCCCTTTTACTATCCTATTATTATGCTTCTGCTCTCTCAAGTGTGGTGAAGTGCAGGGCTCTGATATTATGCATTCATTCCTTCAGTCACTCAATAAACGTTTATAGAACATCTTAAATCTTAACTCTCATTACAGATCTTAAAGTCTTGGTTCCCTTTGCTTTACCCTTCCTTTTTTTTGGGGGGGGGTGTCATTTCTTTCTTTCTTAGTGGCTCTGATTCATGGGGTGGAAGGGTCTATGCTCCCTGGGTTATTCTTTATGGCAATGTTTTGCAAGCTCCGAACCACTCCCTTCTTTCCACCAATCCAGCCAAGCTCTCTTCTGTTTTGCGAACCTGCTGTGCTCCTTGAAGTTTCCTTGGTGAAGTCTCAAATGGCAGAAATTAAAATGAAATCCAACCTGTAGAAACCATAATTTATATAAAAAGCAAGCCTCAGGGTGCCTGGGTGGCTCAGTGGGTTGAGCCTCTGCCTTTGGCTCAGGTCATGATCTCAGGGTCCTGGGATCGAGCCCCACATCGGGCTCTCTGCTCAGCGGGGAGCCTGCTTCCCCCTTTCTCTCTGCCTGCCTCTCTGCCTACTTGTGATCTCTCTCTGTCAAATAAATAAATAAATAAAATCTTTAAAAAAATAAAAAAAAAAAAAGTAAGCCTCACCTGTACTGTTGCTCTCAAATACAGTGATTTTTTTTTTTTTTTTTTTAAGGGTACTTGTGAGGTAATTTTAAAAGTTCTGGATACTTTTTGCTGAAAATACAAGGCACATTGCCTAAAGTCTCAAAGGTTGCCCAGGTAACTAGTAGAACCATTTTCTTATTCATTGGTCAGATTTGGTGAGTCTAAAGAATGTTAGTGGCAGAAGTGTTCCCATGAATTAAACCAACAATTAATTGAGCAGTTATTATGTACGAGGCATTATAGGACAAACCTGGAGGTGCAAGATATACTTGCTTCTTTGGGGAAACTTAAATCTTCCACTAGAGATCTATACATATAAAAGGAAATTTATTCACAAGGCAAATCAACTGGGCATTAAATGCAGTAGGAAAGCAGAAAAACGGTATGGTTACTGGGGGCTGTGATCCTCAGATAAATATGCGGGCAGCGGGTATTTCTCTATACTTAGACTCTTGAAGGTCAGGTAGACTTCATTATTATAGAGAGTTAACTCTATACAGAGAAACCACTAGGATTACTCTATTCCTTAGTTGTTCATTGCTTGAGACAGATTTATTTTGAATTATTGTTGGATGTTTTCCTCTTTTTGTTTCTTTTAAATTGAATGCACATTTGCCCCATTTAATTGCTTATTTATTTCCTTGGAAGATTATGTCAATGAAATTTCTTCTAAGAACTGAGTCCTTATTTGGGGTTATATGTTTTTTTTTTGTTGTTGTTGTTGTTAATAATGACTTTGGTCCCTTGTACGCTAATTATACCTTCAGGAATTATTGAATGTCAGGGCATTGCAGTGACAACACCACATGTATTAGGAACAGATGGACTCCAGGGCGCCTGGGTGGTTCAGTTGGTTAAGCATCTGCCTTCATCTCAGGTCATGATCTCAGAGTCCTGGAATCGAATCCCTGCATCAGGCTCCCTGCTCAGTGGGGAGTCTGCTTCTCCCTCTCTCTCTGCCCCTCTCCCACCCCCACTCATGTGCTCTCTCTCTTTCCCTCAAGTAAATAAGTAAAATCTCTAAGAAAGAAAGAAAGAAACAAACAAACAAACAGATGTCCCCAAGTTTTAATCCAACTTTGGCTCACCCTGGTATTTATCCAATTTATTTAGTCCCTTAGCCTCACTTTCTTTGTCTGATAAATGAGGACACATTTCACTTAATATTTATTTTATAGGATTACGTAGGATGATGATATATGGAATGCTTCTGTTTGGTTCATATAGGGTATCCTACGTATCCTAGCAGCTCTTATTACTTTCCTAGTTCATTTCATACATGTGAGGGGGTTTTTGTGGAACACACAAAAGAAGTCTGTAATTTAAGGAAATATTTTAAGTTCACTGGATTAAACTAAAGTCTTTTTAAAGTTAATGCTTTCAACAATGGTACTGCTAGAGAACGTCTTTTTTTTTTTTTCATGTTGTTTAGATCTTAATGGTACTTCATGGGTGGTCTTCCAATTGAGTTTTCTTCTTTATTTTTTTCTTTTTAAGAAGAGTAACTGTAATTCCTGAAATGGGTATTTTGCCAATTTTCACATGCCTTGTTTTCTCTTCTCAAATCAACATGTCTCTGTATTTATACAATTCAGAGTTCAAACAGCATTCATTACACTGCTGTCACTGTACATAAAGACCATCCAAACTTGTGATGCCTAAATATAAAACACGATCCAACTAAGTGAACAGATGTGTTGTGTGAGCAAAGCCTCACCATGTTGTTCCTATTTATTGTCTGCCTTGTTTGGAGGGCGTGCCTGGTGCTGTGAGGTGGTGGAGAAAGGATCTTGCCAATTGCACTCATTTAATGAAACATTTTATGCACATTTTGTTTCTCTGTTCTGTTGCACTGCCCTTGGGTGACAGAATGGTTTGTAGGAAGTTTGGTTAAACTTGTCAAGCCTTTGAAATGACTTTAAAAATGTTTCATAGTTACAAAAAAAATTATATTTATTTCAGAAAATAAAAAACGCTTTCCTAATTTTGCAGCTAAGATAATGAACTTTCAAAATGTGGCATGTCCAACAAAATTCCATCTGGGTTTCAAAAATACACCGCATTTTTCTAATTGTATTGGACTTATTTTCTACTTCTTTCTGCACCTTTCACATATAATAAAATGAGAAAATGCAAGCACTTGTCTATGGAGATTAGACCCAGCATCCCCTGTCAGACAGAAGTCCTCATGAAAATGAAATTCAAAAAATATGAGTGGTGTTGGTAGAACTTCTCCTTAGGCTCTTTCTTCTGTTAGTATTACTTCTTGAGATCAGGGAACAGTAGCTCAGGCTGACCATCAGCACTAAGCCCAAGGGGTTCATGCTGTGTGCTTGCCCCATTTCTCAAGTGTCACTTGCTAGCATTTCGAGGATGTGCACTAGGATTTTGAAGAAAAACATCAATCGGGTCCACCTGGTTCAGGTACAGATCTTTATTAATACTTCATATTGATATTGAAAAGATTACCTGGCAATGTTTGATATTTCAGAAAAGAATGCTGGACAAATTCTGCATCCCTCCAGCCTGGTTCTGTTAGGAAAAACAGTCCCTTCTCATTTGATTATAAGTTGCAATGTTGCTAGGACTTACTATCCCAAGTCTCTCTCTTTTTCTCTCTTTCTGATTTTCTACTGGCTTGGGGTATGCTTCTGAATTCATGACCAAAGACCGCTTACACTCATCAGTATTTATCAGATGAGTTGTACCCCCATAGCAGGGGCACTGAGAAGGGCAAAGAGCATATAGTCAGGGAATGAATGGCCTGGGTTCGATTTCTGATTCTCTACCCACTCCCTGTGGTGACAGAGCAGGACTTCAGCCTCTCCTAATTTTTGTTCCCTTACCTGAGCACATGGGGATGCCACGCAGTGCCTTCCTCAAAGTGTTGTGTTTCAGGACAATAACAAAATTACTGGCAGCCTCCTCACCATGTGCTGTGTCTTGCTTAACTTAAAAAAAAAAAATGCAATGAAGATTCTAGAAGACAATAAGACAGACAACATAGCTAAATGGTTTGGAAGTGTTTGTTTCAGAATTGCTATGAAATCCAGTATTACTCACTCTGTCTTCAATTCTCTGGCAAAGGTGTGATTCTTTCCATCCTGGGCAGGGGAAGAGACCTAAGTGGGCCCCCTGGGGGGTGATGGTGGGCCCCTGAGTATTTGCCTGCAGCCCACAGACCAGCTCTGTGGTCAAGTCCAGGTTTTAGAAAATTTGCACTTAGCAGGAATGAAGCCCCAACTGCAAACCTTTGGCGACATCGAACTATAACTCTTACCTCATTTGAGGCAGGATCGGAGCTGACAACAAAACACAGCTTGTTTTCCTGATGCCGAAAAGTGCAAGGCAGGCGTTTATTTTTCCTTTTAGCTTAATTTCTTACTTGACACATTAAAAAGCAGGGAGGTAAAATTTCATAATTTCTAGACAAGGAGGCTTTAAGCAAGAGAGACCGCAGGTATTAACACTTTCGCCAGCTTTGATGTAAGTGACCTTAGGTCATGGGACAGGCGTATTTCGCTTCACTTTATTTAAGCGTTCTCCTTGTACTAGCCCTGCATGTTCTGCGTGAGGATATGAGAGCATTTCTCTAAAATGTGGTTATTGTTAAGTGAGATTACATATTCCCAGCATTCCGGGTGGTTCCTGGTCCTTGGTCAACTCCCTGTATGTAAATAAAGACCCCTAGCCTCACTACCTCTTCGCACCACATCAGAGTGTTGTTTAAATACCCATGGTGGTGGGTTCTCAAGTTGTCTATGTGCTGTTCGTCCAAGTTGTCCTTGTGGAAGACAGGACACTTGATGATTATTTTTATCATAGTATGACTTCATTTTCAATTTGCTACTTCCCAAATGGCTGACGCCACGAGTCTCACCATGTAAATCTTCTGAGCATCATACTTGCTTCAGACCACCTTCTCTGGGCTGTCGTGGAGAGAGAGGTTTCAAATCCATTTGGTTTTAGACAAGGAGCAAAGATTAGTTTAAGAATAACATGTAATACTCTCCCCTGTTTCTAAGACTCTGTTACCATTTAATTCCTTCCCCCACCCTCCTCCCAACTCCACCCCCCCTCCAAAAAACCACTGTCTGGTTAAAGGCTTCCTGTTTAATCATTTCATGTTTACTTCCACATGAGCTTATATTAATTATGCAGATCACCAGTCTCGTCTCTGTGAAGGATGAACAGATATTTGGTTTGGTAAAGGATCCCCAAGATAGCCTCATTCCTGGGCCTCCTCCATACCCAGGCAAATGCCGGTGTGTAATGAGCCTTTCTCGGAACACCAGACTTTCCCCCTTAGAATCATTAAAGCCTGCAGGTCTTAACTACAAAGCTGGTTGATGTCCCACGATTTAGCAGAGCATTTTGAGTTTATACAACAAGTTATGCTTGAAATGAAAGAATGGGATCGACTCCCAGCTTCATGGTGGAGCTGTGTGTGCGTGTGTGCGTACACGTGAGCACAGGCCTGGTCAGTCCAGCTCCTGAAAGCCTGGTCACCCTCCGTGTGGATTAGGACCACACTTAGCTGTCTCAGAGAGGGTTGTTCTCCCCCTTCATACTTGCTGAGACCCACCCGTGCATCCTCTGCCTGTTCTGGGGAGAACCCATCTCACTGGGAACCTGCAGGCACCATGCGGAGGCCAAACCAAGAGATGGACTCAAGGCCTGACTGTTTTTCCCCTGAATGACTAGGCTGTGTGAAGACCAGCTTATGCAGGAAAAACAAAAACAGACTAAAACAACAACAACAACAACAACAACAACAACAACAACAACAAAAACGGATTCCAGCCCCACCCTTGCAACTAGAAAAAAAAAAAAAAGCTTTCATCAGACCAATGACACACTTGCAAAGAGCGCTCTTTTGAAAAGCAAATCATCAGTTAAATGAAGAGGCGTACATTTGCGAAGTTTTCTGGATCGGATTAAACAGGGATTAAATAGAATTTCTATATGCCAAAGCAAGCAGAAGGACTGTCCTAAGTTACCAGATCTTGTAGTCTTGGTGAGTGTATCATAGTAACTGAAAAATAGAAATTGATTCTTTTGGAAAAGGAGAAAGAAAATACAGTAATTCTATCTTTTTTTCTTGAAAAGAAAGAGAGTTAGGGACTCTATCATCTGTCTAATTGCTTGAAAACAGCATGCATGCAATATCATATGTTTTAAGAAGGTGTATATCTGCTGAACATCCTTGAAGAATTAGTACATTCAGAAAGGACTTAGGGCCAAAACTGAATTCATACTTTGGGCCCAGGGAATGGGGATAGAGAAACATGCTGGTTGAAAGCCGTTCAAGAAGAGTAGTGAATCAGGCACAGAGTCTGAAGGCTATCAGTTTCATGAAGATGGGGTGGACAGTCAACAATGGAATATTCATTCTTCGGTCCATAAACTTTTCATGTTCCGGGTATGGTGGGAGTCTTGGTCTAGAAAAGACATCTACCTTCACTCACATGGTTTACATCCTTGAAGGGGAGGAAAAACAAAGGATACGAAGCCAAGCAGTGTAAGGACAGATGAAGTCAGTGGGGCATTGGGAAGGAGTAAGCATGAAGAGAGAGCAGAAGACAATTCAGAAAAGGATTCATAGAAAATACTAAGTGGGGGGGCCTGGGTGGCTTAGTGGGTTAAGCCTCTGCCTTCGGCTCAGGTCAAGATCTCAGGGTCCTGGAATTGAGTCCCACATTAGGCTCTCTGCCCAGCACAGAGCCTGCTTCCCCCTCTCTCTCTGCCCACCTCTCTGCCTACTTGTCATCTCTCTCTGTCTGTTAAATAAATAAATATAATCTTAAAAAAAAAGGAAAAAAAAAAAGAAAATACTAAGGGAAAGGTAACGGGATGAAGCCTTCAGAAAACCAGCCAAGGGCTTTGTGTATAAGAACTCTACTGATCATGATACATTAAACTTAAACAAGGAAGGCGGAAGGGAATCTGAGTGTTTCTGACTCATGTCCCAGTAATAGTCACTGGAATCTGCTGTAGAAGGAGATTCAGGTTATCAGCCAACAATAATGGAAGATAATCTGGGAAATTTGATGGTCTGGGAAATTTGATCTTGAATATTTAAATTCCACAGATTGAGATTGGTCAAAAGAAAAATATGAGAAACCCCCTGGATATTACTCAAAACAATGACTTTCAGCCCCAGGTGTAATTAAGATCACTTGGGGAGCTTTTATGAGACTATTTTCATAAATGGACCATCTAGAGATTCAGGGGAGGAGCACAGTCCTATTGTAAAGGTTCTTGAAGTGACTCTAATATGTCTTTCAGGTAGAATCACTGAAATAGAGTAGTTGGTCTCAAGTACAAAAAGGGGAACAAGGAAGATCCCCAAATAGCGTAGGTCAGGGTTTTTCAAATGCAAACATGCATCTATATCACTTAGATATTAAAACACAGGTTGCTGTCACTACCTCCAGAATGTCTGATTTATTAGATCTGGGGTATAAGGCCTAAGAATTCGAATTTCTCACTTGTTTCCAGGTGGTATTGATGCTGCTGGTCCAAGCACTGCATTTTAAGTCCCACCAGACGAGGTAAACTGTGGAGGAGAAAGGTGAATTTACAAGTGGGGGTAGTCCAGGAATAATGGGCTCACGGTTAGGCCTTATGTTGAAGTGATGTGACAGCTTGGAGAATGTAAGTGTGGTCTGTGCTATGATCTAGAACCTTGCTACTCAAGCTGGGGTCCTCAGACCAGAAACACAGGATCACCCAAATGCTTGTTAGAAAAGTAAAACCTTGGGCCTCGCTCTAGGGCCCAAATCATTATTGTAACAAGAGCTCCACACACTTTGCATGCATTCTAATGTTGGAGAACCACACTAATTGTTCTTAGCCTTGGTTTCATATTGTAATTTTCCATGGAGTCTCACAGCGTAGTAACAAAATCAGACTCCCAAGGCATGGAACCCATTATTAGTATTAGTATTTTCAAAGCTCCCTGGATGAATCCAGTATGCCGATATCTTTGATAACCACCGATCTAGAATTTAACTTGAAACAGTGTAGTCAAGCCTGTTGCTTGTCTTGCCTTGGGTTGCCAGGGCTCAGGAAATAGAAAGGCATTCAAGCTTCATATAGTGGACCTTAGTCTATCCATAGAGGACATTAGCGTATCCAGCTGGGAGGTGAAAGGGACAGCAGAATCAGGGAAGACGAGGCAGGGAATGATAAACCAAATCAGTCTCATTTGCTTCACTGGATCCTGCGTGTTGCCAGGGTGAAGATGCCAGACCACTCTGTGGGCATCAGACTGCATTTTCCTGGGCCTCTCCCATGATGCCATCTCCTTATTTCCCCAGGGCTAAACTGACCCCTTCCTTGTACCCTCATGTCCCAGATGTTTCCCATACCTACATCTACCAGAGCACCTGCTAACATGTTAAGCCTTGTCTCATTTCTTTTTGCTTTTTTCTTCACTCAGGAGATCATACCCATTTTAAGGGCAGGAAAAAAAAATCTTGTTTGTGGCTTTAGCACCTGGAACCTACCAGATAAGCCAAGTATTTGTTCAGTGGTTGTATATTTAGCATAGAAGAGAGGAGGGAATTATGGCTTTGGGGAAAACATACTGTGACTTTAAAAAAGATGGTGAAAAATCTATACATAAAAATATGTATACATATAATTTCGTACAGAGATATAACAGACATGGCAAAATATTAACAGTCGTTGAATCTAGGCAAATGGAATAAGGCAGTTTATTATACTATTCCTTAACTTATTCCCTAGATTTAAATATTTAAAATGTAAAAATTATGAAGAAATACATTTGAAATGGTCTTTGTTTTTTTTTAAACTGACAGTTGCTGCTTTAAATAAGTGTTGAAGTAATAAAACTCACATTGCTATTATTTTTATAAATTTTGTAAAATATCATTTCCTTCCCTTAGATATAATTTGATTTCTGAAGACACAGGATTGCTTCATACCCACCAAGATTATTTCCAACTTAAAAAATAACAGCACCTTACTGATTAAAAGCACTTTTATTATGACAGGAATGTTGGCTTGTGGAATTATTCAGCGGGGAATAATTTGGTGGAATTGCTGTCAGGGATCATAGTGGTCAATGGCTGATGAGGTCCAGGCAGGGATCCTAGGCAGCAGGAGCTCGGGAGACGCAGGAGGGGATCACAGGCGGGTAGGAGCAGCTCTGGACCAAAGAGAATCTTCAGCAGCAAAAGAACTTATGTCCCAGGTAGGGATCAGAGCCAGAGTCCTGCAGATGAGACCAAGGGGGAATGGTTGGCACTAGGAGTGGGGGAAGCTAGGTGAGCGGCATAGCTGGTAGATGCAGGTGAGGCTGCCAGGGGCCAACAGGTCTTGCCTCTCATGTTGGGCCCTTTCCATGGATCCTGGGGTCCCTGAGGATGCCAGGGAGAGAGGAGCCATTCTGCTCCCTCCTTTCCCCCAGTGCCCCTGGCTCGGACAGGTCCCCACGGGGCTCCCTCTATTTCAGGCAGGCCCATCAGCGTCTCCATGAGACCCCCTGAGAAGATGCTGATTCAGATTGCTAATTTATGCTTATTTACTGATCTAAATCTGAATTTCCACATTAATTTCACTTTTAAAAAGCCATACATAATTCTGAAAATTCATTTTGTTTTTCTTAATTTTTCATGTGATTATTTATAATGCTTAAGTGTAAAATGGCAATTTAGATGATAATTGATGGTATTAATTTATCTTTCTGTCATATGAAGCCGATTCATCACCAGACTGATCACAGTTTATAAAGAATTTCTCCTTTTAAACCTACAAAATGGCTGCCAAAATCAAAGCGCTTTTGTTTACATTTTTGTTCTTTGTGAACAGTTGGAATATTTGCAGGTAGACTATTGGTATGTATCTCTGGAATCCCAGTAGGGAACTTCCTTCCTCTGTATATTAAAGTAGAAGAATTTTGTTGTTGCTCTTTGATTTTTATGCAATTGGAAAAGTGATCGCCCCTCGTCCTAAAGATCCTAAAAATGACCTCCCCTCATTTAGTTTACTGAGACAGGCTGTTTTCAAGAATCCATAGCTTAAAATACAGTGCCATATATGCTGTTAAGCCCCACCCTGACAGAACTGATGAAAACCCTTGAATTGTGAAATTGGAATCCACTGAGTCAGTGACATCCTTTGGGAGAAGAAGAGACGGCTGAAGAGCAGAGAACTCTGTAAGAAATATGTGGCCAATGTCTAATTTTCCTAAAAAATAGAGGTTGGGGCCCCTGGGTGGCTCAGTCAGTTAGGCATCCAACTCTTGATTTTGGCTCAGATCCTCAGGGTCATCAGACCGAGCCCAGTGTTGGGTGCTGG